GTTGTCGTTTACTCCTTTTTCTCCTATGTTTAATTGCTTGCCCTATTCAGTTGGTTGCTTCTGATCTCATTCGTGGAGTCCTGATCATTTTGGTCCCTCTCTAGAACATCTTTCAGTAGCCTGTGTAGTGTTGGCCTTATCATCATGAAATTCTTTATGTGTTTTTTTTTTTCATGAATCTATTTCACTTCTTCATCAAACTGAAAGAGAGTTTTTGCAGGATATAGTAGTCTGGGCTTAAATTTGTTTTCATAGAGTACTTGAAGTACTCTGCTCCATGCTCCTCTTGCCTTCATTGATTGTGAAAAGAGGTTGGCTGTAATTCTGATGGGTTTTGCTTTGAATGTGATCTCCTTTTCTCTAGTGGCTTTCGGTATATTATTCTTGTGCTGAACTTCTGGGATCTTGACTATTATATGTCTCCGTGTCTTTTTACTTGGGATGAAGTTACTTGGCATTGTGTATGCTTCAGTTACTGAATATCAGATTGTTTCCTCATATTTGGGAAGTTTTCTGTTATTACTTCTGCCCATATTTTTTAAATGTCATTTGTATTGACTCCTTCTTTCTCATTGATGCCTATTAGTCTCACATTGTTCATGTTTGCATCATCTTGCAAGTGATGGATTATTTTTTCCTGCATCCTCGTAGTTTTAAGAGATCCTTTCTTATCTTTTCACTAGCTGCACAAGTGTCTTCAAGATCTGAAACTCTGTCTTCCCATTCACTTAAACAGTTTTGCAAGCTTGTGGTTGAGATTTTAATTTCCTCCATATCTCTTTGACTCTGCTTCATGCAATCTATTTCTTTCCTGTATTGCTCATTCATGGAATCTGTCATTTTTCTAATCTCCTCTATTTTTTATTTTTTCCCTTTTTTTATCAATGTCTTCTTTAGAAGCAGTTATAAATTCTTTTACTGCAGTGTTTTTTTTTTGTTTTTTTTTTTTTCTCAGATTGGCTTTCCTCCCTATGATTCCATAGTTGATTCTTTACTTCAGATGCTATGAGTTCTGAGAATCCTTTTTTTAAATTTCAGAAAGTAATTCCACTCTGAGTTCCTCTATAACTTTCTGCTGTTGATCATTTATTATCATCGCTATTAATTCGTACATTTCAGCTGAGCTAGTAGAAAAGAATTCCGCTCTGAGTTCTTCTAAGGCTTTCTGCTGCTGCTTATTTACTATCAAAGCTATTAATTCATACATTTGAGCTGAGCTAGTGTCCTCTGCACTTGTTCTGGGTAGGCATTGGGTTTCCTCCATCTGTTTCTGCATTTAATTCTTTACTGCAGATGTTATTAATTCAGGGATTTCTTTTTTCATTTCCAATCTGAGTTCCTGTATACCTTTCTGCAGCTGTTTCTTTATTTCAGAAGCCGTTGATTCATTGCTTTCAGCTGTGTGATTCCCAATTTGTTCTGTGTTAGTGTCCTCTGCACTTTTTATGTGTGTGCTTGGGTTCTGAGATTGCATTTTGCTCCTTCTTGTGGTCATTTTGTGTAGCACTGTCTTCTGTCCTTTGTTGTAGATCTTTGTTGTAGTTATAGCCTTCGCACCTACTGATGTTCAGATGTAGCTCTACAGGTTTTGGATTTATCCAGCTGTACCTGGCTTGCATCTGGCAGCTGTGGTCAGTTCCTTCCTGTTGCTGCTCTTGGGGTTTAACGTGTTGTGCTCCTCTGGCAAGATGTTCTGCTTCTGGACTAGCTGGGTGGTTCTGTCTCGTACACTTCCTGCAGCGATTGCAGCTGAAGGGTTTCACCCCAGGCCTATATGCCCGGCCTGAGCTGAGTCTGGAGGGAAAAGGTGGAGTAGGGGTAGAGGCAGCTCTCCCACACACTCACTGGGCCTGGAATAGGACTGGATCTGTGGGTTCTGAGAACGCGACAGAAATTCCTACTCTGTAGGCAGGGTTTCGGGGGGGTGCGGGTACTACAGAGTGACGGGGGCATCCCAAGAGGGTTAAAGATGGTGTGAATCACACTACGCCTGGGCTGGGGCCAGTAGGTCCTGCCAGCACCGGGTAGCCGGAAGCTCTCCCACACACTCACCGGGCCTGGGCTAGGACTTGTTCTGAGGTTTCCCAGAACAGGGAAGAAATTCCTATTAGGCGGGCGGGGCAGGGGATGTGCTGCGGAGTGGTGTGGGGCTGCCCAAGTAGGTGGAAGATGTTCTCACCCACGCTGCACCTGGACGGGGACCAGTGGGTCCTGCTGGCGCAGCGTAGCTGGAAGCTCTCCCACACACTCACCGGGCCTGGCCTAGGACTGGGTCTGGAAGTTCCTGGAATGCAGCAGAAATTCTTACTCTGAGGGCGGGGTGGGGGTGGTGCTGTGGAGTGATGGGATGCATCCCAATGGGGTGGAGGAATGTCTCACCCATGCTGCTCCTGGGCTGGGACCAGTGGGTCCTGCTGGCGCAGGGTAGCTGGAAACTCTGCCACACACTCACTAAGCCTGGGCTAGGACTAGCTAATCTTTGTTCTTTAATCAATTGTGTCCATATTCTTTGTCAAAATATTAGGTTAACATTTTCTTAGCACAGTAATTAACTGATTGAATTCATGCAAGGAAGAATGCAAAAACAAATAAAGAACAAAACTTAAATTCTAAATTTGTATTCTGGGCATAAAATATTTATTATAAATATTGATCATGCATTGTACTGTTCTGATTTGTAAGTAAACTGAATTAACACTGAGGTGATCGATATTTTTGAAGTTAAATTTTCACAAAATTGTATATGTTTAATAATTCCTTTTGTTTTTTTCTTTTCAAATATCTTGCTCAATTTTAACAATTTTTTTAAGAAAAACAAAAGATGGCTCTATTGATCTATTTTTTGAAACTTATTCAGTTAAAATCATTTACTCACTGGGGAACACAAAATAGTATTTGTTGAAAAAGAGCAAAAATGTTGATTGTGATTATCTAAATTTTTATGGGTCACTCAGCATAGGAACCAGATCAAAAATCAAATTGAAATTTGAGTAAAGCCTTTTATTTACTGAACTCATGTTTGTCAACCATTTCCCACATAGGAGAAGACTGAGTGACAATCAAACATAGGTAGCAGAGGGGTATTTATAACAGAAATCACATCCAGTTTGGTAAGTGAATTTGTTATCTAGCACAGAACAGAAGACTACATTCATTTGACACAGTTATAAACTGTTTATAGCCGAAAGGTCTTTTACAGTTTAACGATAAGCACATATTTTTATAAGATACATCTTCAGCTGACTATGTTTATAGGAGATGGTTAGGGAGACAGTTTGCTTCAGCTCACTGCCTTGACAAGAAACAGTTATTTACTACTAAACAGTCTTTAGCAGGTAATGAGAACTCGTTTCTTAGAGTAGATAGCAGGAACACAAGGGTTTTTTCTAATAATTTCCCATAGTTAAGCACAAAATTCAGTTAACCCTTTACAAAATATGCTCAATAAAATTATGGAGCTCTATCTTTAATTGTGTGCTGCACTATTACTATATAAATTTATACTGGATTCCTATATTTACCAAGTTAAAGAGCTGATTTTATTATATTACACAAGACAGTCATTACTCTTCTCTTACTAGCCCGCTCTATGATGGTGGCTATATGGTCACATGAATCATGGAGAACTGGGAACTTGCTTATTGTGCGTTCTCTCCAGATGTCAAATTTATGGACATTGAAGCTTCCCAAGGACTCAAAACAGAATTATCATATAAATCAAAGGTAGATTTTAAGTGACACTATGAGTAGAATGTATTTAGAATTAATAACCCCCTAGTAAAGCAACAGAGGAAAAAGCAAATGAAAACTCATCCTGTTCAAACCTAGGCCTTCTCTCTAATAAAGAAGAAAACTCACAATATACGAATGTGAGTAACTTTCAAAAAGTTAACATTTGCCGATCACATATTCGATATTGACCGAAACAAAAGAGGATATTTGAAAATAAGGTGGAGATGGGTTCTCAATGAGCTCCTTAGGGCTAGAATTAATATAATTGCCAAATTCAACACTTTCAAAATTTAGATCTATTCCCTCTTTATTCTCTTTTCTGGCTTAATAAACTTTTGATAGAAAAATAAGCAACACTTTGTGACCAGCAATAGAGCACTTGCTACACAGGCCAGCAGGAACCCAATCACATCCAAAGAGTGGTACTGGAACCATGAGAGGTCATGGGCTGCAACACGCAGGTGCTTGGCTCCTTTGTGGCGCATGACAAATTCAATCCAGAAGACTGCTCGGTCCAGGGGCTTCACAGGCTGGTCATGGTGAATTTTTGATAACCTCATGGCATTCTCTTTATAGCTAGAGGATAAAACATAAAAAGAAACTATTGTTTAAATTAAATGTAAGTATGAGACATGTATTTTAGGAGTCAACAGTCAAATATAAATTCTAAAAAACATTTCTTTCAGTAGTTTTGTTCACTGTCTAGAACTCTCAGGAGTGAGAAAAAGAATGTGCAGAAGAAGTATGTTCTTAAGGCAATGTGGATAGAAAGATTTGTGTAAATAGCATTTGGCCAGGATATAATGTTTGCATCTTGTACTATGAATAACCACTACAAAGACAACAATATGCAGTGTATTAATTATTGAAACTGTCCTACTTATTGGTTCTGAAACTGTCTCATTGCTATTTGTTTCCCAATAAAATTATTAGAAAAGCAATGTGGATAAATGAACACAATGGAAATGAAGGATATTCAATAGTGTGTATATGGCTCAACAGTCCTGTCAAATAAACTGATATCTTCCGAACTCCAGTATCCAGATCTGTTCTCAGAACACAATAGTGAAAGTTTCAGAATGAAGACATAATCTCATTTAAAACATCCACATCATGGGCAAGAAAATCTGACTAATTTGCTGTACAGAAACAGCAAAGTGATAGTAAATATTAATGAGTCATTTTAAAGTTCTGATAACTTTGTACTCTGATAATTGCTCCTTTGTACACATATTTATGTTTACAATTTAAAAACTATATTGTTTAGTCAGATCAGCAGTGAATGAAAATGCCAGGGTAATTTACAGAATGGAATATCCAAGTACATGCACTTTAAGTTGCTAAAAATCCTCATAAATTTCTTTCTACAATTACGGTTCCTAACAATTAGAAATTACTGTTACAATAGTGGTAGAGTTTAGATCTCTATTTCTCAAACAATGTTCAAGAGAAGTCTACGTGATTAGGAATAAGATGTTTTCACTTCAGGCTTCCTGATAACTTTGCTAAAATTATTAGAACTCACTTCTGTTTATGACATGGATAAAGATGCCTACTGGATTTATTTTTTTTCTTTTTTTTCTTTTTTTATTTTTTATTTATTTTTTTTTTACCAGGGATTGAACTCAGGTCCTTGTGCTTGCCAGGGAAGTGCTTCCTCCTCTGAGCCATCTCCCAGGCCCTGCCTACTGGATTCATTAAGATAAGAGAAGGTAAGTTGTTTGCAAAGAGATGTACTGCTTTTGGGCATACATCATGAGGAATGCGAGAAAGAAACATGGTCAGAATTTTCAAGAGTATATGGAGCAATAGAGCTAACACTGGGAATTATTTCATTGAACTCTTGTTTGGGCAGAGAAAAAAAAATAATTGTCCTCTCTCTTGACCATACTGAAATATAAGTAAAGCCCAATAGCAATATTACTTCATTATCCTTATTCATGTCACACAAGCTAATTAGGCAGTAAATGCCTATTTCCATAAAACTGGATTGTTGTTCAAGGTTTTCTCAGTATACATATACTCTATTTAAAATCATTTCTTTTTTAAAATTGAAGTGTACATATATTTGACAAATAAATATGTGCATCTAAATTCAACTAAAAATAAACTGCATATATAGATAGATAGATAGATAGATAGATAGATAGATAGATATAGATATATATATTCATATATACCATACATAAAAGCTTTGTGTTCACAAATAATTTCAGAGGTAGTATAATTTCTAGGGCCAAGAGAAAGCTATTTTAAATAATCTTTACATTTATTTAGAAATTTTATGATTGTTTTCCTCCATAAATTGTTTTAAACCAATAATAAAATATTTAAAAATATTTATGCATAAGAGCTAAAGGAATCATGGAATTTATCCAGTTGTATATTTAGTCAAAGAAACTAGGCAACTAATATAATCAACTCAACAATAAGATTAAGTTTTGGAACACAAAATAGCATACTAAGAATTGGTGAAACTGCAATTCTCTAGTCCCCTACAGAATAATTTCTATAATATTCCATAACATATGACAATTATTCAGTAATAGCTATCATTTTAAAATGGTACATAATAACACTACCTAACTACTATAATACTAGTATTATTAATTATTATACTACCTATAACAAAGTACTTACAGTCATTTTAGAATGATAAACATTGTGCAAACTGTGACATTCATATAGTATTTACAGATTGTTTTATCGAATTAAAAATTTTATGTACAAATGAAACAAATTGTTCAGAAAATAGTATAAAACTACATATGATCAAAATAGCATTGGATGAATATTTTTAGTTTGCTTTGATTTTTTATTGCTAGTTTCCCACATCTTAAAGCCAAGTCAGCAGTTGAGGTTAGACATATGATTCTATAGTGGTCATATTGCACTACTCTTATAGTATTTGCAAGTAACCCAATTACAAAGGTGTGAAACACTCCTAACTTTCTTGGTCTGTGGAAAGTGTAGCCAATAGAAGCTCAGCCTCCACAGCAGTAATACTCACGAAGGATCGTTGATGACTGCTCTCAAGGCACCCAGCAGGTCGGCACTTGTCATAGTGTTCATGTTCACCTCCACAGCTGCTCCTTTGGCCTTCATGTGAGCGATGTTGTCAGGTTGATCGGCAAACATGGGAACTCCCACCATGGGGACCCCATGATAAATTGCTTCATAGATCCCATTAGTTCCACCATGAGTGATGAAAGCTTTGGTTTTGGGGTGCCCTGGTTTGAGAATAGGTTGTAGCTTAGAAATGGGTGTGGATAATCACATAACACATTAGAAGAACTTTAGAGACAGAAAATAGGCAAGGAATTCCACAACTCAAGAAGGCAGTATTTTCTACAGATGTTCAACACACTTTTGCTCAAAAAAAGTGGATCCCAGCATGAGCAGAACTTAACCCCTGTCTCTCTTTAAAGGTAGTCTTACTAAAAGAGGTGAGTACCAAAGAATTGGAATTCCCGGGCTTATTGAGCTTTTTAACTGAAGATGCTCTTGTGTGAACCAAAGAAGCATACATCAATAAAATGAAGATATTTATTTAACTTTATCTCTTTCAAAACTGGATATCACAGGTGAAATGTTCAAGTAGTGAAATGTTTTTAATGCATTTGCTCTGAGAAAGTTACTGAACTTATTTGTTGTGCAACTGCACAGCTTTTGTCCTCTTGAGGTCTTACCAAGAAGGTCATTCTGGGGTATCCAGTCAAACAGCCGAGTGTTGGCTCCTAACGTGGTTGGCTCCTTTCCTTTGTATCTCCATAAAACCTGTGAGGACAAGACTATCACTTTGCAAGTAAAAACAGATAATGTGCATGTTAATGCTGTAAAATTACTTACAAATCACATGGCAATCAACCTTCCGGTGATATTTCCAGGGAATTTTACTTGTTTGAAAAGGCCATATGAATATTATATTCTGGACAGTACTATTTTCATACTCATTACTTAGTGAGTATATAGCTATTATTTTGATATTAATCATTTAAATACTGTTAGGTATAAGTGAAAAATAGAAAGCAAAGAAGAGGCGCTAACCATCATATGGAGATTTAAAACAAGACAATGTATATGTATGATATTCAATTGATTTGTCAAATATTGCTTAGTCATTTTTGCTCTCAAATATAATGTTTGACCAAAAATCTTTAACTTTAATTTCTGTGATGCTTTTATGCTTGTTTTTCTTCCCATCATCTATGCCTCCCTCTTTCTTTCCTTATTCCTTATTTCTATCTTCCTGTATCCCTGCATCCCTCCTTTCTTCTCTCCATTATCTCGGTTTCCTTCTTATCATTCCTTTCTTGCTTGCTTTTTCCTCTCTCCTTCTGCATCCCTCCTTCCTTATTCTTAGCAGGCAGCAATTAGGTACTTTTATTATCTTTCATACTGATATGGTATTTACTAAAATTCTCATGAATATTTGTACAGATGTTTTTTTCTTGGGAAGGAAAACAATTTTTCAATTCAGTGCTAAAGGGCAGAAAACTTTAAAATACCAAAATGAAAAGAATCTTCTAAATTTTAACACATTTAGAATACTTAATTTTAAACAATGTATGGAATTTAGCAAATATATGAAGAAAATGAGGCATAGAATATAAACATAGGTTAGCTAAATAGCATACAGAAAAGGAATATTATTTGACAATTATATCAGAATTTCAACTTTTTTATCATCACAATATTCAATTTTGGAAAAATAGGTATGTTTAAATTTCTACTTTAATATCAATTTTGACTTCAGTAGAACATAAAACAGAAAAATTTAGAATTGTTTTTGAACATTTCTCCTCTCTTAATGTATAATTTTTTTCCTATCCTGCACCACAGTACCATCTTTTAGGAATCTGCATTTGTTAGTGCCAGTAAAAATATTTATAATGGCCTAATATTTTGCAACTTTATTCCATTACTCACAAGCAATCACAAAAATATGTTTCTGCAGTGATGCCGATGTTACAGTGATGTGGCAGACAATGACATGTGACTGCACTATCCATTTTAATGCTCTACACAATCCTATTTAAGCTTCTATGAGCTGTACACAGAGAGTAGTCAGTATAACTTCTCCAAGGGAAGAGTACAAATTGTGCTGGTCTCTCTCCAATGAGTGCAAAAGTGCTGAACAGGACAAGAAGGCATACTGACCTTCTGTGGAATCTGGGAGAGGGCTGAAGCTATGAGATTGGCTTTTTCCTCTGTAAGGTTTTTCACCATTGAACCCAGAGAAAACACCACAATACCATCTTCACCCGAACTCTGGACAAATTCTTCCATTTCCTGCAAACATGAATTATTTCCATTAAAATAATGCAGCATGTAGCAAGATAAATAAAAACAAAATATGCCAGAAATTGTTGGATGCTATTGTAGCTTGTGTCTAGATGTTCCCCAAAGCCCCAGGCACTTAGAGGTTGGAATTTTCAGAACTGTCTTGATCTATGATGTGTGATGCTGGCATTAAGTGTGTGACACTGGGAATAAGGTTGCCCCACTGTGGATTTGGCAGGAACTGCCCACAGGTAGACTGGATGGAATAGAAAGGGACACTAAAAAAGACTAGCTAATTCTTTATAAATTCTAGAGAGCAGACCTTTCTCTGAGTACTTATTATTACTCAGCTACAAAGAATGATAAGCTCAAAACATTTATATTTAAGTGGATACCACTTGAAGATATACTTATAAGTGAAATAAACCAGGCACACAGGTGTAAATATCGTATAGTTTCCCTAGTATAAGAACACAAAAGAAGAAATACAGATAGAAAAGTATAACACAATTAAAAGGAAAGCAAAAACTTGAGAACTAGACAATGAAGAGAGAGCAAGGAGAAGAGCTAGGAAACATGACAGAGGCAAGCCATACAATTATATGCACAAGATAGGTAAGGCAATGATCCTGAGAATCTTCAGAAGATTTTTGAATCTAGCAGTTAATTAAAAGATTCTCACCCTGACTAACTATATATGCTGATGCCTGTGAACTAAGCAACTGCACTGACGATGGCAATTTGTAATAGTAGGTTCATGCTTGCAGTGCCAATCATTCTAGTCTTCTGAATACGTGCTGCTTGTAATGATACACCAGTTGCTGCCATGCTCTCTCTTGGGTAGATCTCTTTGGTTAAAAAGGAAGGGGGTAGTTAATGAAGGCAGAAGACAAGAAAAGAAGTGTTGTGGGACTGTGCTGCTACAATGTGGTATATGGTTAGATTTCTGGACTTATGTGTAAACAAATATAATTCTTCATTCCTATTTTTAAATATACTTTAATTTTTATTTTTTTCATCATATTCTGTAGGGATTTAAAGTATAACATATCAATAGTTAATAAAAAATACCTGTTCCATGTTATGCCTAAGATATTTGATATTCAGACAAATAGTGAGGTTAAGCTCAACAGCCTGGATAGTATGGTAAAAACAATAAGCTTCTCTTCTGGAGGGTGAACAACTTAAGTTTGCAAACCAAAAATTAGAGAAAATGGAAGACCGCAATGAAAGCCAACATTTTGGCCCTAGCCTTCCAAGGCCAATTAAGACTCAGGACATATGAGAACTTATACTGTAATATCATGTAACACAGTTTTGTCATAAATTTTCTGATCAAGGAGATTATGGGGCCAAAGAGGAAAATGATCCATGATGTAGAGTGTGCCTAAGGAAAGGCACATGGAGAGAAAACATTCTCTCAGGCTTTCACAGAGAGCAAATTGGTCAAGCAATGGCTGTGACTCATTCACATGGCTGACACTGACAAAGGATCTACAATCTGAGTACAGAGTCTCAGGATAAATCCTTGAGGGGACTTGACTGAGCTTGTCATATTCAAAAGCTATAATGCTTGTTCCATAAGTCTTGGTTTATTTTGGTCTTAAACATCCAGCAGAAAAGCATAAAAATGTAGTATAAGAAGGAAAACCATGTTGTTATGTTGAGCTGAGAGGACTCCGATCAAAAAATTCTGACATTGCCAGTCAAGCAGAAGACCCAATACTATTATGGAATACTGGACTACTTTGGAATATTTTGCTGAGCTCACACACCTATAATATTTAAATGATAGAACTAATCAAAAAAGGGGATACAGATGAATGATTATTTTGTGTCTGTGTATTCTAAATGGTTAGGGTAGATATATAGCTACATTCTCTTAATTCATGGAATAGAGAGATTTGTTCTAATAGTGTTTGTAAATAGGATATCAAGTGTGCATCTTGTGCAATAAATAACCACTAGGAAGACAGTATGGAAAATGTTGATTATTGGAACTGTCCTACCAATTTGATTTGAAAATGTCTCATTGCTATCTATTTCTCAATAAAATTATAGAAAAATAAATAAATAAATAAATCATTAAAGCAAAAAAAAAAAAAGAAAAAACTAGCTGCTGCTGTTTCACTCTTTCTAAAGCTGCTCTTGTTTGCTTGTCCCAGTGTTCTGTATTCCCTACCTACTCTCTCTCCTTTTTTATGCTGTTTCACACAGCCACCCTACCATAGAGCCAACCCATTATGGATTGAAATCTCTACAAACTAAATGAACTAAAAGTTATGCTAAGTAAACCTCTCTTAAATTTCAGTATTGAGTATTTTGTCTCAGAAAAAAACAAAATAACTATGACAGAAAAATTTTGCCATCTGATATGTGGAACCATCCAGTTCAAGAGAAACCACATTTAATAAATGTATCTAGAATATGCCACAATAAATTACAAGTTCAAGTATAGAACTAAATCAGTGAATAATTGAACAGGCATTAAAGTCAGCCATGTTTAAAGCCAATTGAATTTTTATATGCAGGACTCGATTTTCCTAACAGACTAAGTTGTTTGCAAACTTATAAATATATTCAAGAAAGAAAATAAAGGAAACTTCCTAGATGTAAGATTTACACCTTATTAGGATAGACTGGAAAATGGTGGGATATGGGCATCCTACATAGAAAGGTCACCCCAGAATATTACAGCTATAGTTTTAAAACAGACATAATGTTTGATATTCAGAAATAGGTTAAACACAACTGTGAATGTCATAGGGTAATAATAATCTTCTCTTCTGGAGGGTTAACAACCTAACTTTACAGGGCAAAAATCAGAGAAAAAGAAGGCCTGCAAGGACAGCCAAAATTTTGGCCCTAGCCTTTCAAGGTCAGTGAGGAGTCAGGACATAGTAGAACCTATAATGTAATATTATGTAACTCAGTTATGTCCCAAATTTTCTGATCAAGGAGATTATGGGATCACAGAGGAATGTGATTAATGGTGTAGAGTGTGCCTAAGGAGAGTCACATGGAGAGAAATCATTCTCTCAAGCTTTACAGAGAGAAAACTGGTCAAGCAATGGCCGTGACTCATCCACATGGCTGACACTCACAAAGGATCTACAAATTGCGGTATAGGGATTCAGGTTAAATCCTGAGGAGATTTGACTGACTTTATTAGATAGAAAAGTTACATTTTTTGCCATATATGTATTGCTTTATCTTGGTTTTAACCATCCAGCAGATAAGTATGAAAATGAAGTATAAAGAAGAAAGCCACATTAATATGTTGAGGTATAAAATGCTCAAGCCAACAACTTTGGACATTGCCAGTCTTATAGAAAACTCACTACTATTACAAACTACTGGACTTTATTTGGAGATTCTGCTGAATAAAAGCACCTACAATATTTAAATGACAGTGGAATGCCCAGTTCTGTCAAAAATAACCAAAAATGGAGATAAAAATGAATGACCGTTTTGTATCTGTATACTGAAAATAGTTAGGATAGATATAATATACAGCTCCATTCTCTTAATTCAATGAATAGAGAGGTTTGTTACAGTGTTTGAGACAGAATATCATGTCTGCACCTTGTACAATGAATAACCATGAAGACAACAATACGTAATATATTAATCATTGAAAAAGTGCCAGTAATTGGTTGTGAAACTGTCTCATTGATATTTTTTCTCAATAAAATTATAGAAAAAGAAAAGAAATATCCTACAATATTAATTTATCTATCCTTAAAAATATTTTTTAAAAAAAATAAAAAGACATAATCTTAAAAATCTGTCACAGATATTATAGATTCATACTTTCTTTCATTCATCAAATAGCATCTTCATTTTAGAAGCACATCACATTTCAATTAACTGTTGTCACCATCAGTAACCATTTCCCTTCAGGACAGAAAGTGTTATGAGGAGGTAGAAGACAATAGGACTGCAACATTAGAGCACTGGAAACCTTGAGCTCTTGTTAGTTATAAGTATACATAAGTGTACTGAACCAAGACACTCTGGTGATGACCCAACTGTGTCTCCTTATTGGAGGGTCATTTTGACTTTTGTTCAATGTTTCCTTTGAAAATTTGATAGGCTACATGTGGATCTCCTCTGTCCAGCCCTACAGAGCAAGCACAGATGAACATTGGCTTAACTGACTTGCAGAGATAGCTTCTTTAACTCCAACTTAGGCTCAAATAATTCCTACATGTTATATAATTTTGAACTTTTACTGTTTTTTAAATAATTTTATTGAGAAAGAAGTAACAATGAGATAGTTTCAAAACAGATTAGTAGGACAGTTACAATAATTAACACATTGCATAATATTGTCTTTGTAGTACTCATTCATAGTACAAGATGCAGACAAGATATCTTGTCTATACACTATTAGTTCAAAACTTTCTTCTCATTTGACTAAAAGAAAGTAGCTATATATCTATGCCAAATATTTTGTATATATA